CTGAGGGCTTGCATGAGTCCTTGTTCTCTCCTGGGGACCTCTATGAGGAGGAGGCTGCTCTCCCTGCACCAGCATCACCAGGGGATGGTGGCTTCCCCAAACAGCTCCGGATGTCCCACCTGGAGCCCAGCTTGTCCTGGGAAGGGGAACAGGCAGTTCTCCAAGAGGACAAGTGGTCCATGCAGTGCCAGCAGTGGCTGCTGCAGGCTGGGGCAGCTCCTTGCTGCAGTGGGGCAGGTCCAGTGCAACACAGCAGCCTCCTGTTGGGGTCCAGTGTGGGTCCTGCTGCCCACCAGACAGACCACGTTGTGCTGCCTCAGTGCCGGTATGGAAATAGCCTTTTTACACATGAAAGCAGCTTCCTTCAGGATACCCCTAAGATATCCCTTCCCCAGCAGCCGGGTGCTTTGCCATGCCAGAGTGAGAGCCACCCTGGAGCATCACCGGGCTTGGATTTGAGGTTCTCAGCATCTTTCCCTGCAAAGGTGGGTGCAGGAGCACTTGAGCAAGGCCCTGGTTTCTTATCAGCATCCTCCTTCACAGCTGGGAAGCCTCTGTGTGCCTGTGAGGTCCAGCTCAAGGTGAGGTGTGAGGGCTGCAGGACCTGAGGGGTGCCCCAGCTCTCATGGATGGAGCGAGCAGTGGTACCCAGGGGATGCAGGCACAGCATCCTTTATGGGCAGCCTGGGGTTGAAGCCTCACTGTGAACTAGAAGCCATGTTTTGAAGAGCCACCAGCAATAGGGAGCTACTCTGGCTATGCACCACATCTGAGTGGAGCCCTGTGCTTCCTGGTCTCGGGAATTTTGTCTTCCAGTGCCTGAAATGAAGTGTCCTAGCAGAGCTTTCAGGCAGCCTAGGATGAAATGTTCTCTTTGCTCATTTAGTTGGGTTTTTAGCAGGAGTTTCAGGGAGACGCAGCCACACCAGCAAGGAGGATGGCAGACCCTTAGGATCCAAGGAAGGACACCCTGCTGGCTGGCCTATGTGCTTGTGGCAACCTCTTGCAGATGGACCTGCTGCTTTGCATTCAATGTAGCACTGAATCACTGCTTCTCAATGCAGCACGGGCTCCTCATCACCTCTGTGTGTGTATGGACCACCCTTGCCATGTTGGGTCCCCTGCAGCATTCCAGCCTGTCTGAGTGCCTGTGCTCTAGTTCTTGCTCCCCATCTCCCACACTCTTCATCTCCTCTCCCTCTTCCTCTAGAAAAGGGGATGTTATCAAGCACTTGGAGAAGCTCAGCAGCACCCGCAGGGTCTCTGTGGGAGGTGGAGTTGGTGAGAGCAGAGGCAGCTCAGGGGTTTGGGCTATTCAACAGCCTTCTCAGGGACTTTGGGAAAGGTGGGTACCAACCTGGTGAGGGTTTATGGGCAGCAGGGTGAGGAAGTTCCAGCCAAGCTCCCCCTTGGGTCAGAGTGGTTGGGAGCATCATCCTTTCTGCCTCTCACACCACTGTTAAGCATGTATAGTTTGCCAAGTGAGTAAAACCAAGTGTCTTGGTGTGGGGTGGTCTCATCTCCCTGGGCCTCTTCCTTCATGCCCTGCTTTGCCTCAATGTGCTGGGGCTGCTTGATGGGCAAGATGGGACTTGGGTCCATCCCCTGGTTTCATGCTGGAAGCAGGGACACCTTCCGCTAGAGCAGGTTGCTCCAAGCCCCTGTGTCCAACCTGGCCTTGAACACTGCCAGGGATGGGGCAGCCACAGCTTCTCTGGGCACCCTGGGCCAGCGCCTCAGCACCCTCACAGGGAAGAGCTTCTGCCCAAGAGCTCATCTCAATCTCCCCTCTGGCAGGTTCAAGCCATTCCCCTTGTCCTGTCCTTACAGTCCCTGATGAAGATGATATGAAGAAGAGCATGGCCTCAGCTGGGGGTGCCAAGAGCTCCTGGTCTTATAAGAGGTGCCTTTGGGAGGGGACACCCCACCAGGCTGGGGCAGAGCCAGCCCCTGGTGCTCAGTTACTTGGGTGCTATCTCTTTCTATGTTAGATATGTGCAGAGAACATCTATTTTCGTCGCAGCCTCTCATTTCATGCTCTGTGATTTCTTTGTGTTGCCCTTGGCAGGAGGCTGATGCTGCGAAGAAGAAAAGATGTCCTGAAACTCCCCCCACACCCCGTGTTTGGTTATGTATTAAAAAGCAATTTGCTTTGTACAGTGATTGTGCTTGGGTTTGACTTGAAACAGCATCTCTCCATTTCCCTTTTGACCAAGCAACTGTGTGAAAAAGCCTCCTTTAGGCTTAGTGCCCAGTTTGGTTTGTTGGGGCTTTGGCTGGAGGAGGAGGACAGTCCTGGCTCACTCCCTCCTCCTGCGCCAAGGGAGATGTGGAGCTGGGACCACGGATGGAGAAAGGTTGTGCTTTGCCTTGTACAGGGTGTTTTGGGAGAGGAATGCAGCAACGTGGACACCCTCTGGTGCTACAGGCAATGAGAACAGAGCTTGATGCCCTGTGTCTTTGTGCTCTGATCGTGCTCAGAGCCTGGCTCTGGGACATGGTGAGTGTTTTGGAAGGAGCTTCCTCAGTGTCGCTGCCATGCACATGTGTGCGCTGACTTATTACATGCACCCTGATGCAGACAATGCACCCTTGCAGTGGCACACGCATGGATGTGCACACAGTCATGCTGACAATCAGCCTGGTGTGCCAACATAGAACCACAGAACCACAGCCTGGTTTGGGTTGAAGGGACCTTAAAGCTCATCCAGTCCCAACCCCTGAACTTCCCCTGTTTCAGTTTAAACCCATCGCCTCTTGTCCTATCGCTCCAGGCCGTGATGAAGAGGCTCTCTCCAGCATCCAAATGCCCGCCGCCCCCCCACAGCTCATCTCAATCTCCCCTCGGGCAGGTTCAAGCCATTCCCCCTTGTTCTACTACAAGGGCCTTTGTAAAAGTCCTTCTCTATTTCACCAACTCTGTTTCCCCTCACCTCCTAATGTCTGTTTAGACCTCAAATTCCTCCCTCAACCCCCTCCACCCAACACCGCCTCATAGAATGGTTTGGGTTGGAAAGGAC